TCATTCTCTCAACCCTAAACAAATACAACACAACAACAGCAAGCCCCTTTCATCTTCTCCGAAGAATCATCTTCTTGCCACAGTCATCTCAAAAACTTCAAAATCGTTGGTTAGTTAACTTCATCATCTTCATTATCGTTGTTTAGGCAAAAAAATCCTTTCTTTTAGGGCTTAATGTTTATCATACTTCACTTAATATAAAAATCAAAACTTTACATGTTAGATTCGTCCATTTGACTGTTCTTCGTCTGTATTTTGTAATACAAAATAAAAAAGCATTATTTTTCATTGCATGTATCCTTAATCATCATTTCATACATTGCATATATTATTTTTGCATTATCTGTTTTTATGTCTACGGTTTAGGGTTTATATTCGATTGTGGAATTAAACCCTTCAATTTACTTGTCTTTCTTCCTGTTGAAGACATATAATGGACTATTTTAACGACGCTGATGGCGAAAACCCACCAACACACTTCCGATCTGACGTTTACCCAAATAAGGTAAACTTATTTTATGTTAAATAAAATTAAATAACAAAATTCAATGCTATTAAGAACTTATGTTCTTCCATATTTTTGTTTTGTTTTTGTTTAGGGTCGCATCTATTTAAATGCACAATTATACAAGTACTGGATTTGTAAAATAGAACCAGGTGAGTGTCTCATTACAGACCCACAAGGAAACTCCTTCAAGGTTTACCTGAAAAATTTATGTAAAACTGTTGGTATGTTTAACAAAGGGGTAAATGACATGATAGATTTTTATGGTATAAAAAAAAACATATTGCTGAGTTTTGGTACAAGGGGTCAAACGAATTTAACTTGCGTATCTTTACTGCTGCTGAAGAGGAAATATCCTATCCTAAAATTAAAAATGAAATTGGCCACAGTTCTAAAAGGTACATATAATTGCAAACCTATATTTCATTAACTTTAATTTGTTAATTAATTAATTATTTATTTATTTATTTATTAATATGCACTTTTAATTTTCTCAGCAAGGTTAATGTCCCACTTCTCCACCCTGACAATGAGATTATAGATTTAACGGAGGCTGATTCACCACCACCTGAAGAACAACTTCTACAATTGCCTTTTCCAACAGATCATATGCCAAGACATCTTGTTCCTTGGTTTCACACTATAACAAAATCTGCAGCAACTGGAAGACAACCTTTGGTATGGAATTACATCATTGTTTTTTAATTAACAAAATATTTTATTTCAAAAATTAATATACATAATGATGTAAATAATTGACTTTCATTATTATTTCCAGTATTTTCCGGTCAAATACTTTGATGTTTGGGGCATAGACAAATACAATTTTTGTGTCTTAATCAACGAAGATGGAGAGATGGTTCAAGCTGACATTAAAAAACCATCAACACAGCGAAACAAAAGGGAGTTTTATGTTGGGAAGGAATGGGGGCAGCTTATTAAAGGCCAACGATACAACACAGGCATACGACTTAAGATTGAAAAAATTCAAAACTTGAACTTCCTGATCCTCCATGTTAACAAAGCCTAACTTGGCCTTCTGATTTTATGCTTCTTTTATAACTGTTTGACTTAATTTAAGTGGTTCTGTATGATGACATGGTTCTGTATGATGACATTCTTGTTTTTTTTATCAGTATCCCTATTAACAATCATCACAAGTTCACGCTACTTATAAAATCTACTTAACTTATTGCGTAATTTAAATCAACTTGATTTTTTTTAGAGTATTATTTTTTAATTTATATCATAATTGGTTGCTGATGTTTTTAAAAATATGTTTAAGCTTTTATATATATATACTAATAATGAGTAAATTGTCAAATGTCACAACATATATCATGTTACAATTTTCTGGGCCATTGTGTTAAAAAATAATATTTTTGTAATTATTACTATGCGACATGTACAAATGTACAATAAAATTTAAACTTTTCATTTCTTATACAAGATTTTAAAAAAAAAATTATCTACAAATCTACATTACAATTTAAAAACCAAAAAAACATTAAACTATTTATTTTATAAATTGTTTTCTAATTTCACTTATTTTTTGTTAGCATAAATTTCATTTATAGTTTGCCTAGTTTATACATTTATCAAAAAAATTTAACAAAATATTTTGTTTACATATGACAGACAACTTAGTGAGTCAAAAATAATATTATGTAACAAATGCATTCAAATCTCTTATTTTAAAAAAAAAAAAAAGAAAAAATAAACTTGCAAAAAAATAATAATTCATTAATCAATCACCTTATAAATTAAATTTAACAACATCAAAAATACATCAATTTGGCTACAATAAACACAATGAATGCCAATATCACAAACTTCATTTTCCTATAATCTAAAACGTGAGAATCAATAGTATTACACGCTGCCATCAAATCTTCATTAATCATTTCAACCTTAGTACTAAGAACACTTAATTTACTATTCATTTCATCAACTATGTCCTTCAAAGACTCTATTTCAGTGTCTCTATTCAATTTATCAACTATCCCCTTCAATTTTTCGATCTCACTCATTTTAGCTGCAACTACTGAAAGCAAATTTTCATTCTCATAAACTTCATCAACTAGGTTTCATCACAAGAAAAAATTGCAATGCTTGTTATATCCATCATAATTTTCACAACCAAAAAATTTTCTACCAAAGTTCTTAGAAGTGCTTGACATTTGAACCTTACAAGGAACTCCACAAAAACAGTTTCTCGTCTTTCTATTTGGTGTTGGTGATAATGTAACCCTGCTACTTTCTGAAGATGCACATTCAGCCATGTTCCTAAAAAAAATGCAATTCAGCAACTGAAAACTATTAATCAGAAAGTAAAACAACAAAAAATAATTCATAAATTAAGTGATGCATTTCACAAAAACATAAATAAGTTAAACATAATAAAAAAACTAAATCAACAAATTCACCTATGAGATTCACAAATAAAAAACTAAATCAACAAATTCACCTATGAGATTCACAAATAAAAAAACTAAATCACATATAACCATGTAAACAATAAAAACTCCAAATGAAATCTACTGAACATGCAAAAACACTAAATACACTTAAAGAATGGAATCAACCGGAAAATAGCAAACGAATGAACCACATAAGTAATAATGTACATTTTTGTAAACAACTCAAAAAAATACCAGCAAAAAGGACATAGATCTATTGCATGCTTCCATGCTCAGTGCTCACTCAGATTCAAACACCAAATTCACAAATAAAACCCTCAACATTAATTCGGAAATAGGATCAATAAAAACAACACCAAAATCGACATATCCAAAATGACGAACACAGCGATTAATACACAAAACCCCTTCAAATGGGGTTGCAAAACCCCAAAACACCAAAACACCGACAAATAAATAACGAAATCTGAACCTCAGTTGAAACCCTAAAATCTTTTACTAAAATAAACATGCATTTCATACTTTCTAATAAACTTCAAAACAAATTCCCTTTCAAAGAGAAACCTAATACAAATAAAGCACAAAACTAATTTGGAAGATGAAGATCACAAAAATGAAGCAAACACAGTAATACAAAGAAAATGACTAACGAAATGTCGTATGTGGAAGGCAGGGTAAACGGTGAAGATACAGTCTTTGATGGACCTTTTGGTAGGGAGAGTAGGTTTTCAATCCCCAGAGATCGGACAATGAGAGGTCAGCGGAAACAAAAAAAAAAACAAAAATTATAGGGGCTTGCAAGAGGATGCGACACAGAGAAGAGGAAAAATGAAAATCAAAAGGGCAGGAACGGAGGGTAACCGAAAACTTATGGTCTTTGATGGCGATTTTCGGAGAGCACCGGAGCCACAGAGTTTCACGACAGAAGATTGAAAAATGAAAATGAAAAGGCAGGGAGGGAAATAAAGAATATAAAACATACATAAATAGAACGGGGACTATTATTTAAAAGGATAAAATTAATGAGGGTTAAATAGCAAATATTAAAACATTGTTAAAAAATATAAGTTCTGACAAAATAAACACATGTCATCTTTTCTGTGGTCCTAGTCACAGAAGGTTTTGGTGCCCCCTAAAATAAACTTGCACCAGAGGAAAAGCCGCATGGAACACGTCAGAAGGCCTAACGTTTCCAGTTCACGGGCCCAGTATAGAAGACGTTAGATACACTGATATTTTTTGCTCAGCCTGAACACAACCATGCAGGACGCGACATAGAAGGTGTCAACCAAGCTAACATTTTGTGTGAAAAAATTTACTCCACAAAAGTCATCAATGGTATTGACGTTTTCTACAATACATGGAACTCGTCACTGGTATTAACGTTTTGTAGACATCTACGTGTCCCAAACAATTTATATTGATAAATTATTTTTTAAATAACTTATTTTAAAAAATAGTTTTTTATTTTATTTTATTTAGGTTAAAAAGTCTACAAACTTCCATTATTAAGCACAAATGTATGACAGACAATATGACATACCAACTTGAAATTCCATATTTGACTAACACCGACCTTGTCTCACAATACAAAAAAAAAAGGTGCAAATACATATAAAAATTCTATTGTATTCTTTTATATTTAAAGGGTTTTGGAACTATATTTTTTTTTTAATTTTTTTTAAATATTTAAACATTTAATTTTAAATTATTTGATTTTTAAAATATTTATATTTTTCATTTTAATATATATATATATATTTATTTATTTTTTTAAAAATTCTTAATATACATACGAAATGTTTGGATTTAGTAATAATATTTTTTTTTATATTATGAGTCATGATAAACTGAGATTTTTTAAAAATAGAAAATTAAATAAAAACTTTACAAAATCTCCCTCAATTTCAGCAAATAGAATTTTATTTATTATTCTAAAAGTTATTTTAATTTCTACAAAATGATTTGAAATACCTGAGCCAATATTCGATGAAAAGAAATAGTTAGTTAATTATTTAGATCATCTATTTGTTAAGAACACATCATTTAGCATAAAAGAAGAAAAATAAAAGTGATGAAAAGAAAAAAAAAATCCACACTTTATATCATTTTTATTAATTTAAAAAATTGGTTGTATCAAAACATCCCAATTTACAGTTTTGTAACAACTCCCACACATATATTCCTAATTTATTTGGTACAAACACATATTCTCTTGTAAAACAATACTAATAAAATTTAAACATAAAATCTCTTATCACTAAGTTGATCTTTAACAGATTCCACATATCCCATGATGTCTCCTAGTCCAACTCATGAGTTTTCCTATAGCCCAAAACAAACTCATAGATGTCCTTTTCACTGGCAAGGGATGTGGACACACTTTCCCTCTGCAAACATCTCTTGGCCCATCCTATGAGTTTGGGACAGTCCAATTTGAAACTACCCACTTTCTCATAAGCATAAAACCATTGATGGAAAGGGATTAAAGCAACATCTAGAAACCCAAATGAGTCACCCCCAAAATATGGCTTGTCTCCAAGAACCTCTTCTAGTTGCTTCAAGCTTCCCTTCAGTTCCTTCTGGGCCTTCTCATGTTGATCTACTTTTGAGGCCCATATCCCTCTCCCATCTTCATGCACCTGCGTCATAAATACTTTCCTTAGACATTAATTAGTGTGAATATATAATTCATTGAAGACAATTTTATTATTACACAAATAATTGTTTGGGAAATAATAAAAAAGGTTTTGAAAAAAAGGAAAAGTTAAATTAATATGTTGTTCTGCATAGTTTTATCAAATTAGATATTTGATTAGAAGTATTTAAAACAAATGAAAATAAAGGTAATTGATTACTATATTAAGAGGTAATTATCATGTAATAATGTTATAATATCTCGTCAAAACAAATTAACAACATTTTAATGGTCTTAGTGAGTGAATGATTTAACTACAAGATTTTTAAACTATAAGGATATTTTCAATTACAGAGAACTAATTAAAAATTTGACAAAATTAAATGGACCAACAGATTAACTTACAAAAAAATCGAGATATATTCTACATGCTAATTAAAGATAAAAGGTGAGAATAAAAATAAGGTTTTGTTGACAATCTCAGTTGCATAAATTTTACATAAATTTTTTTGTGAAAAAACGTGATATTAAAATATGCAGAACCCATTACCCGAAACAAGTTCAAAACTGTGGCTGTAAAATGGGCATGAACAGAACGATCTAAAACTAATAATAATAAAAATTAAAAAAAATTATAAAAAAAAAAAAAAAAAACTACCTTCTTATCAATAAAATCAGCCCAGAACCTAGCTTGAGCTCTATCATAAGGATCAAAGGGCAACAATGGAGCTTTATCCTTCCAAAACTCATCAATATACTCAACAATATTGAGAGACTCACAAATGGATTTTCCATTGTGAATTAGAACTGGAATTTTCTTGTGAATGGGGTTGTTCTTAAGAAGCAAGGGACTCTTATTCCTCAAGTTTTCTTCTTTATACACATACTCAACACCTTTTTCTGCCAATGCAATCCTAACTCTCATACCAAACATACTTGGTTGAAAATCCAACAAAACCACCTCTTCTCCCATTCTCAACTAATCACTTGAAAGAAAAACCTACTAATTGAAGCAAGGATATAGAATAGTTAAATAGGGTTAATTAAGAAGAGAATACCTTGGATATGTAAGTTTATATGCAAGAACTTGAAGGGTGTCATTGATTTGACCATTTAAGTTGATGTCATTACTTACGTCACTCAAAAATTGTCGTATATAAATATAAGTTTGTGGTGTATATATACCAAGTTTGCATGAAGCCAAAGAAGTTATAAATTTATATGTAATTTATAGTATAGTCAAGTCAGCTTCATTGCTTTGACGTTTGGACCACATCTTATTCATGATTTTAAATTGATGTCATTTCTTACGTCATATTCAAAGGTTTAATTACTTTGGACATCTTTTTATAGTATGCAATTTATAGTAGTTAACAGAAGAAGTAATTATTTTGGACATCTTTAAAGAAACTTGTCTTTAAATATTTCTAAAATGAAAAATAAAATAAATAAAATAATTTTTTAAAACTAAAATTAGTTTGTAAATAAATTAGAACAAATTTTAGAGAAGATATCCTGAGAAAAATTTTACAAATTAATTTGTATTTAAATTCATTTTAATTTTTAAAGAAATCTATTTCACTTTTTTTTTTATTTTCTTCTCCTATCAGTATTTTATTTTATTTTTTTTGAAAAAGACCTTATTCAAAGCACGTAGTGTAGTAAGTGATTAGTAAGTTCTCAACCTATATTGATAAATCTGCAAATAATTTGTTTTTGGCTGTAGAATCAGCTCTCTTGGCACTTACTCCTTTCTACCGTAAACTATATTCCTTGTGACATCAGGCAGATTATGATAGAATTATATACCGGATTAATACTAAAATTTAAAACATTACATCAGAATTTATTAAATATTAAAAATTATTAATTTTTTTTAGATATTTTTGTAATGAATTTATTATTACAATATTAGTTATCTACTCATTTGTTGTTTGGTATCAGAAGTTCAAATACATACATGTCTCTATATATAATGATATGATACTGCGTATTTTGAATCTAAATCTTTATAATTTTATATTTTTTATTATCTCTCAAAAGGCTTAGGCTTCTTACCAATGATATGAAATTTTGTTTGTACTTAGACACTTGTAAATGTCAAGAACAACTCTTCCACCATAACTCTTCTCTTGACACCATTGCCTTTTGGATCGAGTAAAACTGATAGTCATAGAACTTATAAGAGTTTAATGGAATTTTATCATTTTAGTTTTTGAGACCCTAACTTAATATTCATTCATCATAAATATTAAATAAATTAGACCGTATAAAAAAACTTAATACACTTCTGTATTGGGCTCGACCAATAATTGTATATACTTACATGCTAATTTCTAAACCCAAAATATATCACATAATAAAATTGACTTATAGGAAAATATAAATGTAGTCCAAATAAATAAAAATTCTAACATTCAACTAATTTTCATAAAATAAAAGTACACCAATTAATAGTTGTCCATTAGTATTAATACAACTGCACCTCTTAATTATTAGAATACAATTAAAGTTTCACATCATTTAAACAAGAGGATAGACACGTGTTTATATACACACAATTATCTCTATTAATAAGAGATATTTTGAGTATTATTTAAAAATAAAATAATAAGAATTTAAATCTAAATTAAACAATATTTTACTATTATGAATCCATATATTTGATAATCTCGGTGCACAACAAATTAAGCAGTGAAGTAGACTAACCCAAATTGCACACTTGAGACAGATTTATGTTTTACATATGAACTGTTTTTAACTTCCTATTCAGCACATGGTCTATGCATTCATTTTGCAGATAAGAATTTGATATGCATTATTATCTTCACTTTTATTACCAAAAATTCCGGAGACACCATGCTTGTGCCCAGATTCAGATTATTTTAGCTATAGAGTGAACTACCCATATATCGATATCCCATTTTTATTTTTAGGTTTAAATATGTCATTAATCTTTTAAATTTAAAATTAGTTTTTTTAGTTTCTTAAATTTTAAAAAAATATTTTAATTTTTATACTCAAATTTTGTTAGCAAATTTGTCAAATAACTATCATATAAAACCTATATACTAATATTCATATTAATAAAAAAATATCACATTAAATTCAACTAATACTACATAACAGTCTCAATCTATTATTTTATATATGGATATGATGTCAGAAATAAAATGATTTTATATCACCTTTCAATTCGAATTAGTAAAAACAATGTCTCCTTGCATAATCTGGATTCCAAACATTCATGATCTGGATTCCAAACATTCATGATCTGGATGTGAATGAGTCAAATTACTTTGTACTCAGAGATAGAAGTATGCAGTATGTATTGCTTTATAGGGCCGATCAAGTATTCAAATGAGTTTGCATCTCTACTTAATTAAGAATAGAGTTCGCCCCTCTTTTCCCAACTCTTGGTACATCTAAATAAATTTAAAGTTAAATTATATTTATAATTCTTCTATTTTTATTAATTTACAATTTGTCTCTTTATTTTAAAATAGAAATATTTGTTCCCTATTTTTTAAATATAAAATTTTAGTCTTACCATTAATTTGATATTTATTGATAATTAAATTTTGAAGTTATTTAATGAACTGTCACCACTTAAATGACGTGACATTTAAAGATAAAAATTAAAAAATAATATAAAAAAATCTTGAATTATATATATATATTAATAAGTGATTAATATTTATTTTATCAATAAATTTTATTTACATATATAACTTTTTCTTTATCTTTTTTATTCCCAAATATTACATCACTTATTATGTATTTTTAAAATTTAATAAACTAAATATTTCTATTTATCCTAAAGAACTATTTAACCTACATTTAAAAAGAAATAAAGTCCCTAAGTCCCTCCAACACAACTATCCAACCATAATGTACCAAAAAAATGGTTGTCAAATGTTAAAAAAAAATATATATATATCCGTACAACTTTAAAGGAACTACACTCCCAAGCTATTGAAGTAGTTCCTTTTAAAAATATATATAACAAAAAATAATTTAATTTTTAATTTAGGTCCTACTTTATACCTTATAATAAGTAAAATTTTAGTCTAAAAATTAAAGAAAAAATATTTAAATTTAAAACTCTTAACAGGTTACTTTACATATTACAAAATAATATTAATTTTAAGAAAAATATAATAAAAATAACTTTACTTTTCAAATTATAATTTAAAAACTCAAATTTAAACTTGTTGATCTATTTTCTTTTTTGTACATTAGTTCTCTTCTAATCCCCCTTTTTTTATAGGCAAAAAATTAATTATAGAGAGTAGGGTACTCTTCTAATCCCCTGTTATTTGCTCTTCTTTACATCTTTTGGCTTTAATTCTTGTATTGTTCAAACTCAATGAACATAGAATTGTCAACATAGGTCGAACTTATCAAACTTACTTTTTGAGTGAGCTTATTTTAATGAATCTAATCCAACTCATCACAAGTTATTAAGTTAAATGGATTGAACCAATTAAATTAAAAATAAATAAAAACATAATGAACTTAAAAAAAAATCTATTTAGTCTTATATCTAGAATTACAATTTACTACTATCAAATTAAGAATATAAAAATATCACAATCTTGATATCTATAAGATTTTTTTATGTATACGTATTTTCTTAACATCATCAAAAGTAGTTATGTTTACTTCCATAACTTATATGATATTTTATTTTTTATTACACAAATATTTTATTAGCTCATCTTTGATGATAAGTTCTTGTATGAGTTCTTGAAATAAGAAATTTTTTTTTTTCACAATTGGGGTACAATAACCTAAATATCATCTATATTATCATTTATACTATATATATAAAGGGGATATATCTTTTAGTAATTTCGTTTTGATTCCCATATTCAAGTAGACATTTTTGTCCCTTATTTATATATATATTTTTCATTTTACTCTAAAATTGAAAAGTAATAATTCACAAAATGGTTTTTTTTATTTATTTAATACGAGGAAAACTTATATTATGTATAAAGGAGATACCTCTTATAATAACTGTTTTTTAATTTCCATTTTTAAGTAGATCTTTTTATCCCTTATATATATATATATATATATATATATA